TCTTCCGCAGCGCGGGCGTCGATGAGTCCGCTCCCTCCCTCTCTGGCTGCGCTCGAGATGAGGGGTTCTTTTTTCTGTTAGTTCTTGTTAGACGTTTTTACGTACCTGAAATAGAGATGCAGAAATATATAAAGGAAAGCGAAAAAGCGCAGAAGAGGATACAAAGGAAAAAAGGGGGGGAAGTGGCCAAAGAAGCGACGACTTCCGCACGTCTTTACAGCAAACGAACTCCTCGTCCGTGCTCCCTCTTCAACGTTGCAGTAGTCCCTCCAGCCCCGTATTCAATCTTTTTTCAATCATCAAATCCAGAAATCACCATTTCCCTTCTTTCCACTTTCAGCAAAAAGTCCATGAAAGGTTTCCAATCTTTCATAAAAGAACTTACCTTCTTGTCCCTGACCAAGCAGATTTGTTTTTCCATCTCTGCTAGTTCTGCCATCTTCACAATCCATTCCTCCATTGTGGGTATTTCAGTACTTCTCCATCTTTGTGCATATAATAATCTTGCTGCAATTACCATATATAAAATCTATCTTCCATAAGTCTTTTCTAATTGATTATCTGTAAGTACCAATAAATAGAGTTCTGGTTTCATCTCAATATTAAACTTCAAAATTCTTCATATCATATGTATTTATGTATTTGTTTTCACATTTCCAACATTGGCTAGAAGTACCTTTATAGATCTTAGATAATTTCTCTGATGTGATATACCAGCAGTACATCATTTTGTAAAAGTTCTTTCTTAAATTATAATGTGAATTTCAGTCCCTTTATCCACATTCTGTCCCATTGATCCATCTGCATATTATAGCCAAAATGTTTAGCCCATTTTATCCTGCACTTTAACTTGTTCCTCTTCTGCTTCAAATTTCAACAAACGTTTATACATTTTTGCAATGAGATGCTCATTATTTGTTCACAGTTCATTTTTCAAATTCCATCTTATGTTGTTCAATCCCTATTAACTTTTTATCTATATTAAATGTTTCTCTTAATTGTGCATATGAAAACTATTGAAAACTAAATCCCTCTGTAGTGAGTGAATTGTTCTCTTGACTTCATTTTGAGCTGTCCACCTTCCTGTATTAATAAGTCTTGAGATGTTAACCATTTCTCTTTGCCTGCTGTTTCTTTTCTATAAAATGCTGTGTTGAGACCAGTAAAGGTATTTTTGGGCACAACCTGGGTGTATGTATATTCCATGCTCTAAATATAGCAGTTCTCACATAATGATTTTTGAAATCTACATTAACTTTAACTTTGTTGTACTTTAAAAACCCATGCCATCCAAACCTCAGGTTATCTTCTCCTAATTCTAACATTCTTTTATTTCTCAGCAAAACCCACTCTTTCATCCAAACCAAACAGAGGGTGAGAGGTTCTTAATTTTTTTTGTGCTGTGGACTTCTTGCAAAGTCTGGTGAAAGCTGTGGACCCTTCTCAGAAAAATATATTTAAACACAAAACATAAAATACATAATGTGTTACAAAGGGAACCAATTATGCTCAAATACGGTTATCAAATCGTAAAAATGAATATATAATAATATGCATTCTTTGTAAATCCATTAAATCAATAATGAGAAACTACATTTCAGTTTGAGTTTAGTGAAAACAATCTGTTGCAATTTCCCCCCCTTCACCCTATTTATCTATGGACCCCAGGTTAAGAACCCCTGCCTTAGATGATCTGAACTCTGCTTTCTATTCTGCAGGCTGAACGCACTTGGTTTCTTAGAACTTGGGGGCACATCCCCTCCTCTGAACTCATCAATGTAAAAAAAAAGAAAACTTTATTTAGGCTGGTGCCTGGATTCCAATTGTGGCCTGATGCAGACTCCATGGAAGGGGACAGCTGTTTCCCTTGAGCCAGATTCTGCCTTTCTCTTAATGCATCCCCTAAGACAGCTTCCCTTATTAGCAGCTGCATCAACCTACTTGGATTCAACTTTTGATCTACTAGAATCTACTCAGATCCCTCCCCAATCTCCCCCCATTTTATCCCAGACTTGTGTGTCTTTCATTCCACCCCATCCAGTTAATTCTGTGCCTGGAATACTACTAGTTCTGGGCACCTCATTTTAAAAAGGACATTACAAGCAAAGCATGTCCAGAGGAGTGAATCCAAACTGCTAAGGGACCTGGACCAACTCCCCCCCC